AACCTATTCACAATAATGCCAGGCACAGAATAGCTGACCGAATGAGCTAACTTTTTCCCAAGTGGAGAAGGGAATCAATATTCGTGGAGGACCTACAAAGCATCACGAAGTAGGCACAAACAATTAACTTCACAGCATGACTGGCCCAGCACATAATAAGCTCAGTTTACAGTGTGAGGAAAGTGAGATGCAGAAAAAAACAAGCGATCTGTATAACTTTGAGGTTATGCAACCTTCAAAGGCAGGATTGTAACCTATGCTTCTGAGTCCCGAGTGCTTTGTTCGTTCAAGCCGAGTGGATCCCTCCACAATACCCAAGTGACTGTCGTTCACGCGATTCTCAAGGTTCAAAGGGAGCCATGAAAGGGCAAATTACAGCCCCTCCCAGATCTTCCCTTTGTGCAGAACAGACAACACAAAACAGCACTGGCCAGCACTGCAATCGGCCTCCCAGTCGTTGGCTCCATAATTGCAAAAGCGTAATTTTTCTTAAAAAAAGTCTGGATGGGTGCAGTTAGCTCATTTTACACATTACGTGAGATGAAAGCGAGGTCTAGTAAGTGGCAGCGTGCTACACTCCCCCAGATCTCTCCTCAGATGGCATCCGAGAAACTTCTCCCTCCCATGGGCTCGCTCCTGACAGCGAGTGGCCTGGCCTCCGCCTGGAAGAGGGCGGGAAGAAGTCGACCAAAGGCGCTGTCTTCTGGGGCAGGCACCAAAGAGGGACAGTCTCTCCGGCAGCCACAGGCCCCCAGGCCCGATTCCATCCGCGCCCTCTCCTCAGATCCGCTGGGGTCCTCCCAGGCGGACCCCATCTTTTCGGTAGGCCAGGTCCGTTCCTTCCCTTCCCCCACCCCGCCCGGGAGACCCCGCGCCGTGCAGCTCACCGCGCTCGGGTGCTGCTCCCGCGGCCACGCCTGTCAAAGCTCTGCAAACATCCGGCTCCGCAGTGGAACGGGAACCGCCCCCTCGGGGCGCCTCAATTCCCAACAACTTCCGCCACACCTCCAACCTGCTTCCGGCTCGCCGCGCCTAGCAAACGGGGCCTCCCCGGAGCCGGAGCCACGCCCACTTCTGGCACTCTCCCGCCAAAGTGCGCGCGGCGGGAGGGATAGCTTAACTGTCCGACTCGTCGCTCTTCAGTGGAGTGGCTGGAACCACTTCGTTCCGCTTCCTCAGCTACTCGAATCCCTGGTGGGCTTCGGACTCCTAAATTCCTCTTGTTCCCTAACGGAGTTTCACCTCACAAGTATTCCCAAACTCCCGGACCTGAATACTGATGTAGTCTAACTGCAGATTCTTTTCAGAGAGCAATTTGGAAATCAACGACAGTTTCCGGGAGGAGCTGAAAAGAGGACGCTCCCTTCCGGCGAGATGCGGTTTAAAAAAAAAGGTGGGGAGGAGTGCGGGGATGTGTGTCTTGTTTGAGTTTGGTTTGGCTTTTTCCAGACCCGGCATGGAGGTGGCGTTCTTGGCGGGGAAAATCCTGCAGCTCAGTGAGTGGCCTACGATGTACGCGACGCTCAGCGGCCTGGCCTAGATGGTCCAGCGTGCTCTGGTCACTCCACCCCCAGTGCCTTGTCCTGTCCAGCCTGGAATCCTCCTTCGGTGTCCTCCTCGTCGCTAGGGGCTAAACAGCCTCAGAGCCGCCTCAGAGCTTCGGGGAGCGGGCGTGGAGCCTCGCGTGCCCCGCAGCCTTCCCGCCCCTTCCCGCCTTCCGATCTCCCGCAGCCCCCGAGCCGCGCCTGCACCCGGACCCAGGATGGAGCCTTTCGGGAGACCCCGCGGCGGGCCGGGCCGGGCCGAGCCGAATCGAGCCGAGCCGAGCCGAGCCGAACCGCCCTCGCGCTCAGCAGCCTCCCCAGGGCTGGGCCCCGGGCCGCTCCCTCGCGAGGACACAGCGCTTGGGGTCTGGTGTGTCGGGGAGCTCCTGCAACCCGGACTGCGCTGGGGGTCGCTGCACGAGATCCCCACCCCTGGGGAGAAGGGTGAGGGAGGGACCCCGCGGCTGGTGCAGGCATTGAAGGGTCGGGCGTCACCCTTCTGTGACTGAAACTTGCAGGCGAAGTTCGGACATTTCTGGACAACTCTCCAGTTCGTAGAAGTTGATTTCAAGCGGTGAGATGGGTTTGTCCCTTCTCTGAGGGCCTGTCTTCCCACAGCTGCAGTAGGGAATGGAGGTGCAAAACGTTAAAAGCTGCATCGGTACAGGGTTGGCACAAAGCTAAGGGTATGGCAATTCAGAAGTGCAGGGTCAAGTCCCAGCCCCGTCGTTCGGCTGGCTAAAATGCAGGCCTTGTTTCACTTCTCTAGAAGAAAGCAAAGGCTCTCCGGGTCATTTGGAGAACCAGAAAAAATAATGCAGGTAGCTGCGTAACCATTTTTCCATCCCTTGGGAAGGAGGTTAAGGGCTTTCTTCGTTTGACAGTGAAGGAAGAGTCAGACAACACTGGCATGCCCGGGATAGGTTTGGTTTTTTTTTTGTTTGTTTGTTTCTTTTTCCCCTTTTTGGTACAGGTGACCAAACTCAGGACCTTACCCTTGCCAAGCAGATGCTTAAGCCGCTGAGCTCTCTCCCCAGCTTTTGTTTCTTTCTGAAAAGATGTCTTGCTATACAGTTCAAAAACTTCTGGTGATCTTCCTGCCTCAGTCTCCCCAATGCTGGGGTTGCAGCCATTCACCACGTCCTGTTACATATTTTTGCTCTCTGTGCTGGGACCAGTCAGGGCCTTATGTATGTGTGGCAAGTTTTGTTACAACCCAAGCTCAGCAGCACCCCTATATAGATTTGCGAGCCTTCCAGGAATTTCATTTATCCCCAAATCACCCCTATGATCTCAGCCCTAAGGAGGTTGAGGCTGGAAGATCACCTCGCAAGTTGAAGGCCAGCCTGAGTAAGGCCCTATCAGAAATAAAAAATAAAAGAGAGTGGTGAGATAGCAGACTAAGCGCCTGCTTAGGCAAGCTCAGGGACCGGGGTTCAATCCCTGGCACCACATGCCCTGGCACCGGTCCCACCCCCAGCACCCTGAGCCTGCTGGGCTTGGTGGCGCACACCTGTTACCCAGCACTGGGGAGGCTGAAAACAGAAGGATCACTACGAGTCCAAGCTGTATAGTGAGACCCTGTACCAAATAAAAACAATAGGTAAATGAATAAAAATGTCCCAGGTAAAATTTCGGCCAGTTTTCTTCTCCTCCTCCTCCTCCCCTCCTCTTTCTCCTTTCTCGACCCACTCAAGCACTTTTACCGAGCTGCTGTTGCCTGAGAACAAAGCTTAGCCTGGACTAGGTAAGTTCCAGGACAAGGTGTGCTGAGAATGTCCTTTGTGGCTTCCTTCAGAGACCCACACGGGACCAGAAGGTGCTGTAACTCTAGGCAAGGGTCTTTTCCCATGTGTGTTCTAAAGGCACAGCGTCCTTTAGCAGGGACTTCAGCTTTACTTGAGCTTTGGTTTTCGTGTGTACCTCTTGGAGCAGTTCTGCTGAGCCTGCCGCTCTGCCCTGCAGCTTGGTGCAGCTAGGCAGGCTGGAGAGCGAACATGGCCCGGTCTGCACCTCGAGAGGCTCCACCTGCAGGTGCACAGGTCTTGCTGCAGGCTCTGAGCTACTGCTGTGGCCCTGGGCTTCTCCAGAGGGCCCTGGCCCCTTGTAGCCTGGGCTGCAGCCATGGCAGAAGTGGAGGCTGCCGTACAGGACGTGGTCTGGCCCAGGAAGGCTTCTGCAGAGGGTTCCACAGGTGTGTGCCACATGAATGCCTGTTCCCTGGGCCTCGCCTGAACAGTGTGCTGAGACCTAGCTATAGCTTAACACTTTGAGAAAATACTAGCATCTTAGTCTTCTTAGAGAATTGGGCTGGGGCTGGGGTTGTTGCCCAGGGATAGAGCTCTTGCCTAGCATGCGTGAGGTCCTGGATTCCTTTTCCCAGCGATACAAAATAACTAAAAATCTGGTTGGAAGTGGACCTTTCAGTGTAGGGTGGAAAAACAGACCCTGGTTAGCATTCCATCCGGATTGTGACATAGTTGAGGGTTGGGCCCAACGTGGTGGCGCATTCCTGTAATCTCAGCACTCAAAAGACTGAGGCAGGAGGAGCACTTCAAATCTGAGGTCAGCCTAAATCACATAATGAACTCAAGGCCAGCCTGGACTACATAGTGAGACCCTGTCTCAAAAAAAAATTAATAATAATAATTAAGTTTGGCAGCACTGTGAGGCTAGAATTTTCTGGCATGTGGTATAAAGCGTCTCAGACTAAAACTCATTAACGGAGACAGACATTGGAGTGGGATGGATCTTTGCCTTCGAAGGAGTAAGAAAGATATTTGTAGCTGTCATCTTCTGCGAGTGTCCGAGAGTAGTAGATCCATGCGATGAAGAAGGCCAGCTGTGTAGGAAGTTTCCAGCCTCTTCTGTCTCCTCTCGCCCATGGGCAGGACTCCCTTATTGTACAGATGAGCTCGAGTGGGGAGGGGAGACCTTGAATGGCATTGTGTGTCTCCAGGGACACTGGGGCCCTCCTTCGGGAGGACTGGCAGGAGGCAGGGCTTCTCTACGGCTCTTGAGAGCAGGCAGAAGAGAACAAGCGCTCAGAGACTGCGGCAGCTGCTCCCACTAGGGGATTCCCCTGCAGGAAGCTCTGCCCTGGGTTTGGGACACAGGTCCAAGGCTCAGAGTAATCTCTGTCTGGGTGCCACCAGGGGGTGACAGATGGCCAGGATCTGCAGGATGGCAGGTTGTGGGGTCAGGCAGGTGTGGCAGCAGGTAGCCTCGGAAATCACAGACCTGTGTCCAGCGCCCTGACCTTGTGCATGCCCCCCACACTCACCCACTGGCCCCCTGCAGTGGGGGTGCTGGCACCAGTGTGGGGCATGTGGCCAGGCTTTCCTGCAGGCATGCCACCTGGAGAAGCATGCGTTTGCACACAAGCCCTTCCTGTGTGCTCAGTATGGCAAGAGCCGCAGCTCGGAGGAGAGCTTCAAAGCCTAACTGCGGCCCCACCACAGGGTGCGGCCCTTCCTGCGCCTTCAGTACAGCAAGGCCTGTGGCGTCCAGCACGGCCTCTGAGAACACCAGGTGGCCCACTTGGGCACCCAGCCCTTTGTGTGCAACCAGTGTAGCAAGGCCTTCACCAGCTGGCCCTCCGTGCAGCCACATCTTGAGACCCACCAGCTGCCCACCTGCTTGTGCCCTGTGCGCAGGCGGCTCCTAGCCACCTGTGGCTGCACACCCAGGAGAAGTCCTTCCTGTGCCTGCACTGCACCCAGGCTTCGCACGGCCGCCGGAGCGCCAGCGCCACCTCATCACGCACCCAGTGAGGTCTGCCTGGATCACACGTGCAGGAAGGCCTTGAAAGACCAGCACACGCTCCAGGACCTTGAACGCCTGCACTCGAGACACAGGTTTTTCCCCTGACCCCAGTGTGGCCGTGCCTAGATGGCGGCCACCAAGCTCTGGTGTTACCTCATCTGCACCTTGCGGATAAGCCCTTGTGCTGCCCACCTGAGGCATGGGCTGCCACCTCCCGCAGGGCCTTGGGCACCACCGGCTCAGTCACTGGCCCTGGGCACCCTCGGAACCCTCTGCACTGCTGCTACGGCCTGAGCCACGGCTTTTGGCCTTGGGTGGTGATGTCACGGAGGCCACCATTTTCCAAGAGCTGGGAAAGGTGTTTTGCAGTGCCCAAGGAGCCAGGCAGCCTCAGCCTGGTGCTGAGCCACAAGCACGTGGGCTTTGGCAGCTGCAAGGAGGTGGTGGCAGAAACAGGCACCTGACCCCATTGGCTGTCCCCAGCTCTGCGTGTCTGTCTCTGAGTCGCCTGGAGGGGGCGGAAATCTACTGGGACAAGGAGGTCTCAGGTGGTTCTTCTTGCTTATGAGCCACAAGATGAGGCCTGACTGCTGGAGGAAACCTTTCTGAGCAGAGGTCTTTACTGACTGCCTGGGGAGTGACACCTGCCCTCTCCTGGGTGTACCATGAGCC